TTAATTTAATTATCCACTTGGGTACTGAATCTGAGTCAGATCTGCAAGTGGATCAATGGGAACAGACATAAAGCAACTACAAAGCTCTTAATCAGGACTCCAGAAAATGTAAGACTTAGCAGTGTGGTTAAGCCTGTTGTATTCTGTATTTCTGTATTTTAAACAGGAATGCTTGTGTATTACAGCCCCAGTGAACGAGAATTTATTGAGGGGGTCTTTTTTTCGACACCTGCATGACAGTCTGGTGCTCCACTAGTCAGTCCATCCATCCATAACCGCTCGTCCGTGGACGTCAGCAGCACCAGCCATGGAGATGGAGACCCCTCCCCCAGTCCTGTTTGGTTGGATGCCATTTGCTGTAGAAGCTTCTGTGGGGAACTGTGTGGACTGGACTAGAGCAAACCGCGACAACTTATTGGACAGCTAGAAGACAAGGTTTCCTGTAACAAACTGCAAGGCACCTCGAAGTTGGGAAGGAGTGTTCTGTACTTTACTATCTTCATTCTGGTTCATTGATGGGCTGGTCTGTAGAGATAAGAGGAGGTTAGATGATGATGATGATGATGATGATGATGATGCGAAAGGCACACTTGGTCAAACATCAAGGAATTTCCAAATCAGCACTGTCCTAACCCTGATGCAGTGAAATGGACATGGAAATAGAATTATTTTTCTAATTATTTAAGCAAGATGGAGGAAGGGGCAAAAAGAGACAGACAGAAAGAGGCAGGCCGTTTCTCCAACACAAACACGTGGATTCTTAGCATTCCTAGCTAGATAGGAGCTTAATCTCCCCGAGAGGTGGGGGAGCAGAGGGGCCCACCCAGTGTACCCCTCCAGTCTCCTGCCATGCTCTCTGCCTCTCTCTGTGCTGCCCCCCTCCCTCTGCCTGTTCAGACCATAATTCAGTTCTTATCCAGTTCTGTTTGACATTTACATTTTATCCAAAGCCACAGTGTGGTGTTTAACTGGGACAATTAAGCTTAAATGTAGCATATGTCCTTAATCACTCTGCCACCTGCTGCCACATGTTTTTATATATTAAGTGTGTAAGTTATAATGGTTTGTCTTGCTGCGTGTGACATTCCTATAGAGCATGAAGCAAATATGAATTCTCTTATTGGCATTTGTCAATAGGCAGGTATAACTTTAGCTTTTTCCTTGGCCTGTGATACTTTATGTGTCGTTGCGTGTTTGCTGGATGGTGGTTTTGTGTGTTCTCTGTGTGGTTGTTGGAGATTATATGGGAGAGGAGTGGGTCATATGTTTAGGATTTTGGGAGATTTGCCTGAGAACGGAGAATAAAAGTGGAAGGAATGAGCTGTAGATGAGGGAGGGGAAGGAGGGATTACCCCCCCACCCCCCCCATGCCATAGAGACCTACTTCCCAATTGCCAGAGACTTTGACACATATTTATTTGGGCCGTTCCACAACAGGGGTACTTTAACTTACTAATATCTTCAGTGGTAGCCTGAAAGTATTCATACTATGGAAGTTTAATGTGTAATGAATACTTAGTATAGCAGTGCAAGTTATTGGGAGTATATAGAGCCAAATGTGTAGCAAAACTGTAAACTTGTATTAATGCTCCAACATATAATATGTTTGTATCTAAGTGTACAAAAGGAGTCTTTAAGTTTGAGTTTTTCAGATAGCACTGTACTTCAAAAAAGCTCATTATGCGACAGAAAAGGTTATATTTTTTAGCCAAAATGGGGTCCAAACATTGAACAAGAGGAGGAAACATCACCTTCTTTTGTTATGCTTGCCTGGATTGAAGCCAATAACGCAAATGGCAAAGTGGCTATAACCTGGAAGACAAAACAGACACAGAGCATTTGAAGTTGAGGCCCTGCAGAGTCTGAGTAATAGGTACTAACTTATCCTATTGTCATAAAACTCACAAAACTCCTTTCTGATGGAACACATGCAAAGAGGCATCCATCCACCCACAGGTCACCTCCCTTCCCCCAAAGAAACAATCCTCTTAACAGCCTCTTTCCCCATGCACACACACACACGCACACTCGCGCGCAGAAAGGCATTCCCATCTTCTAAAGTTCACACTGACCTGACTTTTATCGCGCCAGTTTCACTCAGTACTTTCTGAGTGCACAGCTTGTTTTCTGACGCGGTGAAAGTGCAAACATGGCGTTGGACCTTACAGATGTGCAGCAATTTGACCAATTACGCAGAACTTGTCAGAAGGAAATGCGAGTGAAGAAGATAAGGGTAACATGGCAATACCTGACACCTCGCGGGTGCCATGGACACCTTTGTTCTGTAGAGCCTTTATGGCGATTGCTGGATTCAGTTTATCTACCTTTTGTGCAGATTCAGGTCACTGCAGTTATCACACTGCAATCATCACACTGCAGTTGACAGGGTCTGTAGGATTACCATGTACTGCACCCTGTGTGATGTGATTAGCACAAATATCGGGGGTGGCAAGTGACTTTGGGGGCTACAGCTTTGTACTTGTGATCAGAAGGTCGCCAGTTTGAGCCCCAGCCTCTGCAGAACAGTGAGATGTCTGTGGGCCCTTCAGACAGGCCCTTAACCCCCAACTCCTGGGCTGTTGCATGCTGGCTGACCCTGTGCTGTCACTCTCATCTGTCTGTATCTCATGGAGAGCTAGATGGGGTAGGCAAAGAAAAGCATTCTAATATACTTGTGCAAATTGCAACTAAAGGATAATTTCATTTAGCTATAACTCAGACATCTGTGTTTTAACGTCATACGTAACAGGATTTAATATAGTGCTGTGCGATGAAACAACACTCACAATAATGCAATGCTTGTTGTCAATTTTTTATCAGTAAATTAGTCAAATATTCTTTGCTTACTCAGCTGATATACTTTTTTAGGCAAAATGGAAATTGTAGTATGATACAGACTGACTCCAGAGTTAAGTGAAATATCCAATGTGATAAGATTACTGGTTAGTATCTTGACTTAAGTCTCTTCAGTCCTGCTCCCGCTGCCCCACAGTTTATCCTGCTGGCTAATTGATTAGTGAAACTATTTCCAATTTGCTGATCTGGCTAATGTAATTGTAAGAGGCTTTTGTTGCAGTTTTTTGTAGGTGCTTAGAAAAAAATACATAAGAGCTCCAACCTATGGCTCATATGAAATGTGAGGCTTTTGTTTGTTTGTTTTTGTGGGGGGGGGGACTTAAATATCAAAAACAGCATAAATTTATCAACTTAATCAATCTGAAAAAACATGAACTGAGGCTTAGACACCATGACTTAACCGCTGCCTGTTCTCTAATGCTAACAGAACGGGTCAGGTCAGGTGAGGTGTGATATAATAAAGTGTGTTTTTCTACTTCATAGAGACATGTGGGTTCGGGGAGAATAGAGGAATTGTTCCTGGGCTCACATAGTTGTGTTTGTGTGATTGGTTTTGTTTCTATAACTCCATTATGTTTCCTCGACGTTTGTGCTCACTGTTGCGACACAAAAGTGCTTTCACTGTCAGTGCTCCCTGCCCCCGCCCCCAGGACGCGCACACTCACGCCTCTGTCTCTGCTCTGGCCTCCCATTGTGTTTTCCGCTTCCTATTGGGATGTCCAGTATGTCTGCTAGCATAGGGAACTGGGGGAGTTCGGCTGCTTCTGTAGTATGACTGCCAGTCCCGGCAGTAAAGGTTGCCGTGGTCAGTCTTCATTCTCCTTTAATGGGTGTGTGCTCAGAGCTCCGCCTCCCTCACTGGCAGTGAGCGGGTCTTCATCCTCGATTTGCAGTCTTCATCGCTGACTTTGAGTTCCTTTGTGGACTGTCGGCGAGCGCAGTATTCAGCCTTCAAGTCTTGGGTCTTATGTTCAGTTTTCAACCACTTTCTCTGCCTCGCTTTCACCTTCCCAGCTTAGCATACAGGACTGGGAAGCTGGACAAGGATCCTTATAGGCAGTAAATATTTTGAAGCTAAATGTATTATTACAAAATGTTGCTTCACCTCATTTCCAGAGAGCTTCGAAATGAAAAGACCCTTCATATACTGCTTTACTATAAGGAGAAAAAAATGAACGAACGAAACAAACGTAAACATAATTATCCATGCAGCGTGAACACCTCTTCATCACAGAATTATCATCACATTCCCCAAGCTGTTTGCACCAGACATTCGGTTGTCTCGCCGTCTTTATTTGTCTACATGTTTATTTATTATTTGCACATCATATTATCATATTTCTGTTCTGCTACCTCTGTTTAACTTGTTTAGTTGGTACAGTATATCATGCCATCACCTGCAAGAGAAATTCTTTGTATACTTTTTTGTACTCAGAGAATAAAGATTCTGATTCTGACGTGATCATGATCGCTTCATCATCGTGAGTCATAGATGAAGGTCAAGCCAGTCTAAGGGGAGAGTCAAACACCAGTAAAAGTGATAAGATAATATAAAGTAACCAATTAAAGAAGAGCATGTGAGCTGGCCTTAATACAATTACATTAAAGGCACACAAAACAATTGGAAAGAAAATCAAAAGTGTCCTTGAGCTGTGAATGGTCTTTAATTTTAAGGTCTGCTATTTTTGTCTGGTAAAAAAAAGAAATGCTGTCATATCATTTCAGGACTTAAGGTGTGTAATTTAAGCAGAGCCTATATCTCACAGCCCTTGCGCTCGATCTATGGGAGATAATCTGTCTACCTGGCAACTCTGGGCAGCCAAGAAATGGTTTTTCTATCAGTAAAATTTATTTCCTGGTCATTTGTAAGCTTGGTGCATCAGTTTCCTGCTAACTGCAGTAAGATAACCCCACACTGCAGGGTTTGAAGTTTAAGTGTCTTGGTCATTAAGATTAATTCTTTTATATGGAATTGGGCTACCATGTTCATAAACCGCAGTAGTAGTTTATGAATCAAAATAATTTAATATGATATGATGTTGTGGAAAATACGTTTCTGGTCTTAGCTGGTTTGTGAGGTCTTTCATCAAACTGTGGCAATGATGTGAACCTGCATTCTCCATTTTTTCTTCTCCAACTTCCAGGCCATGATATCAACAGCTCCTTGGAGCCGGCTAACATTGACACAAGTATCTTGGAGGAGTATATCAGCAAGGAAGACGACAGCTCTGACATGTGGGCACTGCATAGTTACATGACACATGCCTGGCAGACATGGGCACACACCTGACAGACCCAGGCACACGTGGGCACATGCCTGGCAGACATGGGCACACACCTGACAGACCCAGGCACACGTGGGCACATGCCTGGCAGACATTTGCTCAGCCGCAAATGCTGAGCACATCAGCTTAGCTTCTATGCAAATAACGAAACACCATTTAAAATTTCAGCTAGCGAGGGCATTGTAATCACGGAACATTTTAGAATCTGGGCTAGAGCTTCAATTCAGTTCAATAGTAGTAGCTGATGAATGTCACCTGTCAGAGTCTGACCTGCTCCCTGTGTGACTCTCACCCCCAGATGTTTCTCTGAGGTCCAGGGAGGCTCTGGCCCCAGCTTCTCCTCCCCCCAGCCCGGGGTCTCCTCAGGGGGAGTGACATGTGATGTGAGCCCCCACGCACCCCTGCGCCCGGGCGCCCAGCCGCCCCTGCCCCCACTCTGCCAGACCTCTTACCCCACAGCTCCATCACTAGGAGGCCATCGACACAGCTACCCCTACCTGGGGCAGCAACCACAGCAGCTTCAGCAGTCTCACGTCAAGACAGAGCACAGGGGCCACTACGCCTCTGGGTGAGTGGGGAGGACGGGGGGTGTACCCCAGCATTATTCTCTATGCTTACCGCCTCACCCGCATGGGCCTGACCAAGATAAGCCTTTTTGGATGGATGGATGGATTGATAGATAAGGATAGGTTTATGTCTATCCTGATGTCTGGTTCTATCTCTCATATTGGTACAGCTGTGCATACTTTCAGTTACTAAGATACATGCAGCGTGTAGCCCACAGCTACTAAAAATCCAAATTACGTGTCTAAGTTCTGGTTCTGCCGAGTTAAAATCTGGAAAAACCAGGATGCTGGTGTTTTGGCGTTGAGCCGTACAATCACCCTTTCTGTGTCCAGACAAGCTGGATAAGCTCACCTTGTATAACCTTACCTGCGTAAGTAAACTTCATTCTGTAAAGAGGAGTAAAGAATGGAGACTGGAGGAAGGTGAAGTGGCAGGTTTGTGCCAGTGATACATATTGTACAAGTACAGATGTATGCAGTTAATTATACAAACACTGGCACATGTGTGGACAGAATCAAAGAATACAACAGATTTCTTTATCATTTGCCATTTATTGTTACAGAACATTACCTGAGTCCCCGCCAGACTCCAGCTCAGAACCGTATTCCCCCCAGCAAGTGAATGGTAAGGTCCTTCCGCTCACGTGTATCGCTGTTGAAACCTACCATTACAGAACTTAAGAGGGGGACCCAGTCTTTTGTTTTATTTTGGGCGGGGCTGGTTTTGTTATGAAGAGAAGGAGTGAGAAAGGGAACCGCGGAGAGCAATCAAAGATCAGACTGCAAACATAGACTGTGCAGAGAAACACGCCTGAAGAGGCACAGAAGGAGAGAATGAGAAAACCGGGGAGAGACGAAGAAGCCGAGCAAAGTGTGAGATACGCTACAGTGTCTTGAAAACTTTAATTATATCGTTGATAATGTCAACTAGAGACTGAGAGACAGAACTGGGAGGCAATAACGGAATAGAGTGAAAATAGGAACTTCAACGTGAGAAGGAGAAAGTGTTCCACTAAACAGAAACAAGGGGGGATGCCTCGGCTGATTCGCACACTGTGGAGATTATAAAAAACAAAGAGAGGACCAGTGGAGAAAAAGCAAAGGCTGTAGGATCAGGGTAGTATAGACGGGAGAGGAGCATGACGGGCCTGACCCACAGTGAGAGCGCGAGAGTCTGATGCAGCCCACCAATCCAGGTAGGGAATTTTGGTCTCGGCCCAATCAGCTGTCTCCTTATTACCGTCCATTCATTTGGTGCTCTTCATGCTTCCAGGGGAAATGGGCTGTCACACGACGGATTAATGGGTACACTAAGTCAATACGGTGTCAGACACTGGGGGGCACCAGGTGGCATGGGCGTCATTTTTCAATTTACCATGAGTAAAATGAAGCTTTTGGAAGTAACAGGGCTGGGACTTATGATTAAAACTGATTAGCTGTATTGAATGTTTCGCAGGAAATAAGTTCATGATTTGTTAAATGTTTTGATAAATATTTTGCCATTTTGTCCTGCTCTGTTTTGTGTTTTGTACTTTTTAAACTATTATGAATCCTTCTTTAATCCAAGTTACCCATAGTGTGGGCTGTTATATTCAGGTGTATTAGAGAAACGACGTTGAGGTATTTTCCTACCAAAGAGAAGGTGTGGAGGTTTCTAATCTGATTGTCAGAGATCCAGAGGGAAACAATAGAGGGTGCCATTAGTGTGGAAAGGAGAAACATGGGTAATAGTTGCCAAAAAAAACGTACAGGGGAGATGAATAGACAGAGATGAAAGAGACGTTATGAACATTCTCTGTGTTAGATAGGTAATGCCTGGGGTCTCTTAGGTGACTCTCTCTCATTAGACCTCCACAACAGAAATGCTCATGAGTGAAAGTACGAACATCCTACAACCCAAACAATAACTCAGAAAAAAGCCTATATTTAATGATTTGTGTTGACTTCAACCCCCTAGTGCTCAACACCTTGAGTGCAGGATTACATTTATGACTGTATTACCGTTTTTTTTGTTCTGTTTTCCCCATATTGTGAGGACGTGCCACATCCAGGTAATTGTAATCCAGGTAAACATGGAGTAGCCCGGTTTTTGTAGGCCATGCTGTAACCTTCACACACCCGTTACACACGGTGTGTCCTCACTTTGTCTCCCAGACCCTCACCTGCTCAGCAAGATGACTCCCGAGAACATGTGCCACATCTCACCACCTCTACCCCAGCCGCACTACTCTGGCCTGCAGCGAGACATGTACCTGAAACAGGAGCCAATGATATCGCAGTACCCACCTGGGCCGGCCATGTGCACGCCGGGTGGGGATATCCAGCAGAGCCAAATGCTCCATCAGCTGCTGCAGCTTCCTCAAGGACAGGAGTGAGTGTGTGTGTGTGTGTGTGTGTGTGGGGGGATATGTATATATTACATTATGGAGACCAAATGTCCTCACAATGTGATAAAAATCTGTTATTTAGATGTCGTAGAGAATTTTTCGGTCCCCTCAAGAGGAAACTACCTTTTATAAAAATCCGTGCCTGCAATCAAAAAACTAAAAATGTCACAAGTGTAGTATTTTGTTTGGTTACTTATGGTTAAGGTTAGGGCTGGGTAGGGGTTGTCATTGTTGAGTTTTTTCCCACAGAAATGAATGGACGGTCCCCACTAAGATGTGGATACAAACATGTGTGTGTGTTTGTCTGTGTTTGTGCCATTGGAGGTGGGGCTGGAATAAAAGACTCTCCGTTTGGAGCATGGCTGTGGGTTTATGCTTATTTGGTAGATTTTCCTGCTTTAACTATACTCTACTCCAGTATACTCTCTGCTCCAGCATAGATGTAATCACATGTCCTACACAAAGCTAATTGGAGGCAGATACATCCAATAAAACAAAATAATGTAAATAAAATTAAAATGGCATTTTAGGTTGTCCTTTCTGTTGATCACCAAGTTTCATTTAACTGGACAGCAGTTATTGTTTTAAAATCATATCTATTGACTTAGTATACATCAATGGTGTGTGTATGTTAGGATCTTAAGCTATACTTAGATGCTGCTTATGAATGTTCTATGAATGCTTTATAAAGGTATTATGAAGGTATTATGAAGGTGTAGTTAATGTAAAGCATTGCCCATATCAGAGACTGTACTACACTGATCACATTTTAAACACCGACGTGCTTCTCTGTTTGTGTGCAGTGCTATTCCCGGTCACCAAGCCAAGAAGAGGAAGCACTCTGACTCCCCTCCAAGCACCCTCAACACGCAGATGCTCAGTGGTATCATCAAGCAAGAGCCAGGTAAACAAATAGGACACAAACATTTGCATTTTTATCTTTATAGGGACAATCTTCTGTGATGGGTTGGTGCCCCATCCTGGGTTATTCCCTGCCTTGCACCCATAGCTTCCGGTATAATCTACGGACCCCTGAGACCCTGCACTGGACAAGTGGGTATAGAAAATGGATGCACGGATGGATGGATAGGGACTTTTGACTATTTTAATGATAATTTATGAGGATTTATAATGTATAAGGATTCATAACAAGTAACAATAAAAATAATAATCAGTAAAATGTTCTGGAACTTTTTATGGGTGCATTTGCCCGTACACACAAATATAGTTAAAAATGTACCCACCCGAGATGCAGTGGAATCACGTCCTGGGTGTCTGCCTGCCTATTCATGTGCTCAGTGCTTCCTGTGATAGGTATGAAGCTCTCCATAGCCCTTTATTGACCAAGGGGCTTTTGGAAAATTAAGCGATGAATAAATGTACACATACAACAATTGTTTTGCATAGCAGAATTTTTCACAAATTATATCTCAGCTTATAGAAAGTATCGCTCAGTGTATCATTTATGGGGCCGATGTGAGGCTCAGCAGATCAGGACTCTTGATCGGAAAGTCGCCAGTTGAGATCCTTGGGCCAGCAGACTGACGCTGCCATTGGGCCCCTGAGCGAGGCCCTTATCCCCCAGCTCCAGTGGCACTGCACTGGCGGACCCTGCGCTGTGACCCCCAGGCTTGCCCTCACCTGTCTGTGTGTCTCATGGAGAGTAAAATGGGGCCGGGTGAAAGGAGAATTTCCCCACTGGAATGAATAGAGTTATCCCAATCCTATTCTCACTCACTGACCACTAACAAGATATACAGGTATACAATGTATATAATGGACTTGCTCTTTCTACTTGTCTGTTCAGGGTTGATCCAGGATGCAGAGAATTCCTACCTGGACCCTAATTACCAGTGCATCAAGTGGCAGCCCCACCAGCAGAACAAATGGACTCTCCTGTATGATGCCAACTGCAAGGAGCTGTGAGTATCTGTGTGCAGTGTCACTGCGGGCTTGCCTCATCCCCATGGCTGTGTGCAGTGTCACTGTGGACCTGCCTCATCCCCATGGCTGTGTGCAGTGTCACTGCAGGCCTGAATTATCCCCATGGCTGTCTGTAGTGTTACTGCGGGCCTGCCTCATCCCCATGGCTGTTTGCAGTGTCACTGCGACCTGCCTCATCCCCATAGATAGAGAGATAGAGATACTTTATTTATCCAGAAGGAAATTTAGGTGTCCAGTAGCTTATACACAGTATACATACACATAGTCACACAGACCTATGACATTCACACACACATACATACTGCAACAATACAAAGGAAAATAACAGGAGGGGAGTGTGCTATACAGGCCTAAACACTTAAGTCCATCACACTCCTCCCCTTCCATGTGACGTTGAAGAGCTGTATGGCCATAGGGACAAAGGACCTTCTGAGCCTGTCTGTTCTGCATGACAGAGACAGGAGCCTATCACTGAACATGCTCTGTGCATGGCTGTGTGCAGTGTCACTGCAGGCCTGAATTATCCCCATGGCTGTGTGCAGTGTCACTGTGGGCCTGCCTCATCCCCATGGCTGTGTGCAGTGTCACTGCAGGCCTGAATTATCCCCATGGCTGTCTGCAGTGTTACTGCGGGCCTGCCTCATCCCCATGGCTGTGTGCAGTGTCACTGCAGGCCTGAATCATCCCCATGGCTGTCTGCAGTGTTACTGCA